TCCGGTACCGGGAACCGAACTCACGACCTTGCGCTTGCCAGGCAGGCGCTTTTGCCGCTGAGCTAAATCCCCAGCCCCCTTGGCTGCTATTTTTTAAGGGAAAATATAACAAAACAGAGTTTCAGAACAGGTTAGTAGGAGAGTTACAATAATTAGAAAGATTATCACAGTGCACATTTTGTATTAAATAGTACCATTGTGTGTTAGATTAAATCAAAGGCCACTTGAAATTTGAACCACGAAAGTTAAATAAGGTTTAAAAAGAAAAACAAATTGTGATAACTTTAAAATCTCCTTTTGAGACTTTTGTAAATTTAAGAAAGAAACCAAATTTTATATTTTGAAGATTTTTTGCAGATAAGTTCAACTCTGGGCTGACTTGCCTTAGTGATGCTGCATTAAAAGATTAAATTTTTGAAAACAGAAAAATCAAAGGAGGGAAATATAATAAATTCTTTACCATGCTAATATATTTACATTTTATGAGAAGGGCAATAAGGAACTGTTTAAGGGGAAAGCCAATGGGGAATTGTTTAGGGTTATTGTACTGTTCAGGTCTGTGAATTTCAAACATTATTTGGGATATAGTGTTGGAGATTAGTGAAGAGTAAGACTAGAAGAAGGAGGCCAGTTAGGAGACTCTTAAGGAATCAGTCATGCTGCTGCTACTGGTGGTGATTCTGATGCTAACATTGAGGAAAATAGCTCCACACTTATTTAGTCAAAATGACCCAAACCGATTACCTTCCTATTACAGATAGAGAAACTAGCACTTAAGTACAAAACAAAATGGCAGGTAAGTGGTGAAGGTATAATTCAATTCTGATAGTCTGTCTAAACAATTTTCTGTGTATTGGTATTTGTTAAGATTTTTTATTAGCGAAGCAGTAATAGGAACAAGAGGGAGTTATAACTGCTGATGTAGATAAGTAATCCTGTTGACCAGTAAGATCTAGAGAATAAAAGAAGACATTGGGATGTACAAGAGGTATTTGACTTGACTGATTTAGTGAATTATGGTACCTGTATCAAGATAAGAGATCTAAGAAGAGTATTGGAATTGATTCCATTTATCCTGCTGAGTTTCCATAGTACTTAGACCTTTCTAACATGCTATATGACTTACTTATATGTGTTTTGTTTATTGTTTTCACCTCACTGATCAGTATATGATATGTACTTCAGGAGAGCAAAGATTTCTTCTGTTTTCTATTCAATGATATAGTCATCTAGAAGAGTTTCTAACTTGTAATGAATATTTAGCAGTTTCTAGCTGCTCAGTGAGTATTTTTTGAGTGAATGGGGAGAAGTGGATAAGGAATGAGCCCTACAGACCACAAACAATTGAAAGATGCTTAGAAATTTAACTTTAATGGAAGCAAAGAGAGTAAAGAGTTTTGAGGAAAAAAGAAAGTAGTCAGTACAGTGATATGTTTCTATGAGATTAGGCAAGGTAAGGAACGAAAACATGGTGGATAAGGGAATCAGGATATATATGACTAGTTGGTTGGAATTTAAGATGAGTGAGAACTCTGAAACAATATTTCTGTGAAGTGGTTTGTATTTTAGGATAGTTTTACATAATATTAGCTTCCCCTTTTCACTAGTTTTCAGTTATCTTTTAGTGATAATGGAAAAAAGAAAATCTGAGTATTACTAATATATTCTGTAGCCCTCACATTGCTTTCTTCTCTGCCCTGGGATTTATGAATAACTTGACTATATTTTGGCTTATATAAATTTCAGAAGATCCTGAGATCAATTTAAATGTAGTAGAATTTTATCTATAATGGTATCAGGTGAAATGTTTAAGCTGTTTGTTTTCCTGGCAAGTTCTCTAGACTTTTATTTGTGTGTGTAAGTTATATTTTTATTCCTGTCAAAGAAAAAATGTTTTACAGTTAGCAGCAGGAGTGCAAACTAACACTCCACATCTGTGTCCTACAAACTTTTCACAGCAAACAAAGCATGTCGATCAAATGCTAGAAAAGGCAAAAAGATAGTTCTCTTCATGACTGTTACTGCATATCCTGAAAATGAATTGTAGAATAAAAGAACACAGAGCTGAGAAATAGTTGAATTTCAGCTCTGATCCTAGCATTTAGTGGCTTCAGCTTTAGCCTCTGTTTTTATTTTCTTTATAGAGTAAAGATTATAGAATTTGAACTTCCCTTCTAAGCACTATTTTATAATTAACTAATCTTATTAACCAAAGCCACGAGTAATATTTTCAATTTATTTCCCTTTCTATGTTAAAGAATAAACAATGACAAATTTGTTTTTGACTTTGATTATAATTTAAGTCCCTATCCTTTCTGTAAAAAATTTAGTTAACACTTCGAGTTTTGAAGCAAAACTGATTTATATTTATGCTTTCTTTTTATAAAGCAAGAATGTATCATTTTATTTTTGCTTGCTTATAGAAGAAGTTAAAATTTAAATACTCAATTATAAAATCTTCATAAAAGGAGATTGACTAAAAATTCTTAATATTTTAGTTTGTCAGTGTAGATTTCATTTAATTTGGCAGGTTTAAAGTGACCACTGAATTTAATATTGCCAAGTATTTGATCTCTAACCTTAGTTTATTGGTTTGGTATACTATATGGTATAATTCTTCAATTGAAGAAGCAAAATTTTGTCAGTTAATTTTGGTTATTTTGACTTTAAACAACTGGTTTCAGTTTAAACAGTGAAGAAATTTTTTATTAAAATTTGGAGAGTACTTGCATGTGCAGCAATCTGATTTGGGTTTATTGTAGTTTTATTTTAAGTCATTGAAAAGAGAAAAGGGAAATAAAGAGTAGGTAAACATCTTTTAATTTCACTTTGGACATTCTACTACTTGGTCTGTAGTCTTATCATACAACACATTGAATTCTCAAAAAGCGTGTATCATTGCTATTTTGTATATGATACATCAAGTAAGTTGCCCGAAGAAATTTATCTAGTATGAAAATCATACTTGGAATCTACTTTTGTCTGACGCCAAAGCCCTTGCTTTTTTCTCCTTCATATTTTGTCATGCTATATCTTTTATTGAACAGATTAATTCTTTGGTATTTTTAAGGGAACAATTTCTGGGAAAGGAAAGTCAAAGTAAGTATTTATTTAGCCTTAATGTGACCCTTAACAACTAAGCAAAACACTTTTCTGGTTTTTGCCTTGACACTCCAAATTCTA